TAATAGAGGTATTTCAATTTTCAGAATCGAATTCCGACCCCGATATCAAAAAGTCAACCCCCCTGTCAAACTTCTTAAAAATAAAACTTTCGGCATTTCAAGCCTAATTTCTCTACGGACTTCCAAATAATATTTCGGACATGCTTCTAAGCCCAAAATTACCAGACGGAGCTATTGGAATCATCAAAATTCAAATCCGAGGTCGTTTACATATAGGTCCATATCCGATCCACTTTTCAAACTTAAAATTTTTAATTATGAGACTAAGTGTCTCATTTCACTCCGAGTTTCTTCCGGACTCGAACCAACTAACCTGATATAACATAATATAGCTGAATAACATAAAAAGAAATAGAAATAGGGAAAACGGGGTTATAACTCTCGAAACGACCGACCGAGTCGTTACAAGGACTGATAATGGATTTGAATTTGTTAATTCTATCTGTGATGCTTTGTTCAAAAACCTTGGCATTAGTCATCAAAGAACCTGTGTTTATACTCCTCGGCAAAATGGAGTTGCTGAGAGAAAACATAGGCATATTCTAGAAGTGTGCAAAGCTCTAAGGTTTCAAGGTTGCATTCCTTTAAAGTTTGGGGGGTACTGTGTGTTGGCAGTTGTTTATCTCATCAACAAGATGCCCTCCTCACAGCTAGGTCACAGGTCTCCTTATGAGTTATTATACAGGAAGAAGCCTTTGCTTGGGCACCTCAGGGTCCTAGGTTGTCTGTGCTATGCCAAGATTATGAATGAGACTGATAAGCTCCAACCAAAAGCTATCATTGTTGTCCACATGGGCTACTCTTCTTCTTAGAAGGGATACATTCTTCTTAACTTGTCAACTAACTCCTTTTTTGTTAACAAAGATGTAACATTCAGGGAGGATATATTTCCATTCCAGCAGTTCTCCTCTCACAAGCAGTCTGTGTTCCTTGATACATCTTCTTCTGTTTTACCACATATTATTGAGCAATGGTATGCTCAATATGCTTCAACAGGATCTAACCAGAACTCTACTGCACATGACTCTTTAGTCTTACCACATGCAACATCTTCTTCTCCTAGCAGCACTAACTCAAATGCAAGTTCATTACCAGCTGCTGCATCACCAGGTGTTAAGGTATCTCAAGTTGGTTCTCCTGCCCTTTGGGGATTAGTCAGAGACAAACATCCACCATTATGGATGAAGGAATTTGTTTCTCTTCATGCTAATCAACACACTCCCTATGGCCTGACAACCTATATGTCCTATGATCACCTGTCTCCTCATTATCAGTCTTTCATTGCCTCTTCCTCTTCTGAGGTTGAGCTTGTCTCTTATGTTGAAGCAGTCAAGGACCCCAGATGGGTGGCTGCTATGAAGTTTGAGATTGCTGCATTAGAGGATAATCATACATGGGATGTTGTGACCTTACCTACTGGAAAGAAACCCATTGGATGCAAATAGGTGTACAGGATAAAGTATAAGACATCTGGTAAAATTGACAGGTTCAAAGCCAGGCTAGTTGCCAAAGGCTATAGCCAGAGAGAAAGCATTGACTATCAGGAGACTTTCTCTCTTGTTTTCAAGATGGTTACAATCAGGACAATTCTTTCCATTGATGTTGTGCAACACTGGCATATTTATCAAATGGATGTGTCAAATGCTTTTCTCCAAGGTGATCTTCATGATGAGATCTACATGGACCTGCCTCAGGGTTTTGTGAGTCAGGGGAGCAGCAGGTATGCAGACTCATCAAATCCCTATATGGTCTCAAGCAGCCACCTAGACAATAGAATGCAAAGCTTTTAGAGGTTGTGTTACAGTTTGGTTTCACGCAGAGTCAACATGACCATTCTCTGTTCATAAAAGGATCAGGAGGTGTCCTTGTACTCATCTTTGTTTATGTTGATGATATGCTAATTACTGGCAGCAATCTAGCATTGATTAGAGAAGCCAAATCTTTTTTGAAGTACGCCTTCACAATGAAGGACCTAGGAGAGTTAAGATACTTCTTAGGGATTGAATTTGCTAGGTCTAAGCAGAGAATCTTAATGCACCGGAGAAAATACACTCTAGAACTTATCTCTGAGCTAGGACCGGGAGCAGCAAAGCCAGTAGCTACACCACTTGAAACAAATGCCAGGCTCACTATAAAAGAGTTTGATGATTACCTGGCTAGTCCAAGTCAGGGGGAGGATAAGTTATTGTTTGATGCAAGCTCTTATCAGAGGCTTATAGGCAAGCTACTCTACTTAACCATAACAAGACCAGACATTGCATTCAGTGTGCAAAACCTTAAGGTCAATTCCTGCATCAACCAAAGAAATCACATCTTGAAGCTGCCCTAAGAGTGGTCAAGTATGTGAAAAACCAGCCTGGACAATGAGTACTTCTGTCAAGTAAAGCTGTCAAGAGGATCACAACCTACTGTGATGATGACTGGGCAGCTTGTCCACATTCTCGCAAATCTGTAACAGGTTTTCTTGTCAAGTTTGGTAATTCACTAATATCGTGGAAGTCCAAGAAACAAAACACCACATCTAGAAGCTCAGCTGAATCAGAATATAGGAGCCTAGCCTCTACAACTGCAGAGCTAACATGGATTTTGGGGCTATTCAAAGAAGTTGGAATAGAGGTGCAACTTCTAGTTGAGGTTCACATTGACAGCAAAACAACAGTGCAAATAGCAGCCAATCCAGTGTTGCATGAGAGAACCAAGCATATAGAGATTGACTGTCACTTTGTAAGAGAAAAACAATACAAAAGGGGCTGATAATAAATGAGTACATTCCCATCAAAGAGCAACCAACATATTTGCTAACCAAAGGGCTCAGCAGAGTTCAGCACGAATATCTTTGTTCCAAGCTAGGGATACTTAATGTGTTTGCACCACCTAGCTTGAGGGGGAGTCTTGAGAGTAACAAAACTTAAAGCAAGAGCTGTACTTTGTATTATTTATGAGTTGGTTAGTTTGTTAAGTAAGTAGTTAGTGGAGAGATTAATTAGTTGGTGACAGCTAAGCATAGATAGTGTATATATTAGTCATGTGTACTTTATTTTATTTTTTTGAGCTTCAATGAAACAGTTCCACAACAGAGTCTTCTTCTTCTCTTCTCGCCCTATCTCTGCATGTCTTCTTCTTCGTCTATCTTAATTCTTCAATAGACCCATCTTGGAAATTACATTAGCATCTGACCATACATAACTTTTACAATATGCATCAATAGTTCGAAGTACCTTAGCATCTATCAAAATTAATAATGACCAATAAGCGTGGATCCTAAATTCTAGCACTCCTTTGAACAAGCTGCACTCTCCTAGTTTTTTTAGCAGTCCAATTGCAAAATCTGAATTCCAAATGATATGATAAATATCGAAAAATCTTAGTATTTGCAAGTGTATAGTTACTTATGATAATAATAATAATAATAATCAGAAACCATGGTATTATTTAATAAATTGCATTTAAAATTATTTTATCAGAAAAAATTTAGTTTCTAATATAACAATAATAATTTATCCTATTTGTGATAACAAATTATATACTTAAAATACTCCTAACAGTAGATTTCACCGTTAGTTCCAAAGCTTTGAAACGCACAGGTCATGAAGCTCAGTCTAATTACTGCATATTCCCGTTCTTCTCCGACCACCGTCACTCTCATCTCCGGCTATTCCTATGCTAATAAAACGGCGACGTACAGAGTGAAATTTCCCTCTTCCTTCCGACTCAGCTCTGGCAACAAAATCTCTAATAGCTTCTCCCTGACGATTTGTTCGTTCAAATCATCATCCAACGTTGACTCCACCGGCACCGAAACGGAAGCCTACAATCAAAGCATAGATGGAGAAATTTCGTCGCTCAATGTTGAAGTCGGAAGCCCTAGAATTCTACCAACCTTGTTCATTCCTAAATTTAGCTTAAGTGACCAAGCTTTCTTTCTATTGGCCTTCATTGCTTGCACGGTATGTTATTTAAATTCCCTATTTTGGCGAGGAATTATTACTTTTTGTTCCTGGAAATTACATATAGTCTTCGAAATTGCATTTTTAAAGTATAAATACATTTTATGGCAGACGTCGGTGGCTTTCACAAGCCTGGTAGTTGCAGCTGTACCAACACTATTTGTAAGTTCTCTTAATCTCTTGCTTGACAGTTTCCTAGTACTTTGGTTTATGCATTTGTTTTCCTAATTTGCTTCCGTTTCATAGAGATCACATTGCAAGAGTGTTTGTAGCTCTTTTTGTGTATAGAATTTTATATGTATAAACTTCTGCTTGGAACTTGCATACGCCGGGCATCTACGCTGATAAAATAGAAGCTAAGTGTGTGTTCTGCGATAGAACACCATGTTTTTTATGCCAGCGAGAATATAATTGCGAAATTCTGTTTGAGTGTATTGTGATCAGAGGCGGATCCACAATTTAAAGTTTATGAGTTCGGGATTTTAGCCCTTTTGGGTTAATGAGTTTCAAATTAATAATTTGTACCTATTAAATAGATTTCTTAAGACGAATACAGGGTTTAGATAAGCTACTGGGTCACCTGCCCCTGATGGTGAGAATGTCTTGCCACGATAAATTGTATAAATGTTATAATTGGATGAAACCTATGTTGCTCGAACTCTCCGAAAATGTGGCCGGGTGCGTGTCGGATCCTCCAAAAGTAGTGCATTTTCGGAGGATCTGACACGGGTGCAATAATATTTTGGAGAGTCCGCGCAACATACAATGAAACATAAACAGTTATGTGCATCGTCTATATTTGCTTCGGAGGTCTTTTTGAACAAGATTTGCTTCTGAGGTCTTATTTTTATTTCCTTTTGGCTAGAGTGAACAATTAGTTTTCTTAGACGTGTCATTGGAGCTTGAGCAAATTCTTTTAGTAGTTAGTTTAATGCTGGGTTAATGTTCGCTTAAGAAGGAACTACGGACTTGGCTCCATTGAATTGTAGAGATAGAGAACCTAGAGGTTAATTGTTAAATTTTTGAATGCCGTAACACGTTTTCACAATTCGTTGTACATCTTAAAACAGAATAATAGTTCACGTTTATTCTCCTTTGACTTGCATTAGTTTAGATTGTTCGATAGTCTTTAGAAGGTTCAATAGACCTTGAGGGATAACAATGCGCTATACAAGCTCAAAACTGTCATCATAAGATACTACAATTATTTAATTTGTTGGAATGTACTATGTTGATTTTCTAATTCCAGTTGGAAAACATAATGTATGCATACACATCTATTATATTTTACATCAATTACTTCATGAGTAGTCCTATTGAGAAACCTCTGAGCTGTAAAACTAGGATTTTGTTAAACTAAATAGACAATCAGGGTCAAAATTGATCTCATTCTGTTTACTGCAAATTGATTGTTCTCAACCAGACTGCATCATATTCCATGTAGATAATGCCCCATATGATATGTTTTACTTATTGCTCCAAACTTTGGTGCATGTCCGTATGCCTTATTTATGTATGAGAACCTTACTGGTTGTACCTTACTGCTTATATGATCCAATGATAGTTTATTGGTTGCTGTTTGCACCGTTTAAAAAAACATTAAGATAGAAATGTAAGGTATTTAAGAGATACAAGCTTGTCAAAAAGAATAACCTGAACTCCAAGCCTGGCTCTGAATCTTATGGAACACGCACCATATTTGGAAACTTAGTTATGTAATTAGTCCTTTCTGCGTACTAGACAACCCCTAAATGCTCACCGAGGGGAAAGAAAAAGAATTCTTCATTACCGCAGAATATGCACTTAGATAGGTGTAAGGCATTCTTGTCTTGGTTCTGGTGGCGCATTTGTGTTTCATATGAACACAATTGTCTTGAAAATCCTCTTTTCTGATTTTTTACACATGCCTTTTTAGCAATTGCTGTTTGAGACATAAGACCTAATTAACACAATGGCCTATAAGTTATGAATTCTGAGAAAATTCCTGATTACTGTATGCATGTGGAGCAGATAGGTCCAAAACACCTTAGGTGAACTTGTTTGATCATTTCTTTATGTAGGCAATGCGTAGAGCAGCAATATCTCTGTCAAAGTTGGCAGACACTGCTCGAGAGGAGCTTCCTAGTACAATGGCTGCTATCAGGCTGTCTGGAATGGAAATCAGTGACCTTACACTGGAATTGAGTGATTTAAGGTAACAAATTTCACCATTATCACTAAAGAAGTGACTTAGAACAAACTGACTGATGCTCTTTGAAGATGAGAAACATCTGGAAGCTAGATAGTGTTGTTATTTCAAAGGAAATATTCATTCCCTATATATCTGAAGGGCTGAGCTGCTTTCACTTGATAACATAATTGTTACTATGATTTATGATTGAAAAGCTTATTCTTCGCGTATTCTGGGAGGGGGCCTTAATGTCGTGATGATGCAAGAAGCATAATTGGTTGATCATATCTTTTTTTTATTTTTATATAAGGTAAATAATTGGTTGATCAAATCTCATAGAATCTGGTGCACCTTTTAATCTTTTAAAGGGCTTAAAGAAAAACGATGTGAGATTCTGCATTATCCGTTGGATTATAAGTTAAATAGTTGTATAATAGTGGTTGGAGTATAAATTGTCGTGGTTCTTGAAAGTATACATGTAGAACAGTGGAAAGGTATTAAATTTTTCATTGAAACTAGGGAAATAAACAAACTTGCAACTACAAAAACATCAAAGTAGCTCTCCACGAAAAACAAACCCTCCTAGGCAGGGAACTTTTACCAATGGATAACTTTACTTTGAGCCAATTGAACTTTATTTTGAATTGCTTCCCATATTTGACAAAATACTAATGAACAACTTTTTTCTCTGGGACTCTAGTTGCCGCAGTCTACATTTTTTGCATATATTATGGTGCAAATCTAATCCTCATAATGTCATATATTTTCTTCCTTGGAATACTTGTGTCATTAGTGATCCCACTCTTCATAGATCTTCAGTTTCTGCAAAGGAGTAAGTGTTGTCTCATTCTATTGTCGCATTTACCAATTTTTGAGAACTTTTATCCTTCCTCTTTGCTTATTGTCTGATCTGGAAGTCATGTATGATGGAACACCATCATCCTAGAAGTGAAAATAACTGCTGTTATTCACAAAAAGGTAAAATCCAAATTCTTCTCAGGGAAGAAATTGTTCAACTTGTAGTAATAGCATTATCTTCTTGATATGTCCTTGGACAGTTTGGAGTGTAAGGTATGAAACCTCTAAACAATTTGACTTGAAGTACGCTGGATGAAAATAAAAGATTCAATTCATCTTTCTACTATCTTTATTAGTAGAATTATGAGAGTGAGCTGTATGTACAGCATGGACTCTTAACGCAGTAGCCAATAATATTTCTTTTTTCTTGGTCAGCCTTCCACTTCGGTTTCTCATGTATGCTCTACATACTTGGGTCTTCAATATTATAAGAATGTTAAATGTCCTCTGGGATGTAATTCTGCATCGTCTTGATGCTAGCAATGAAACAACTTACTTCATCCCCCCAAAAAATGTCCTCTGGGACTCAGAATCCGGTGAATCTGACCTCGGTGAGGTGCAAGTATAGCAGATTGGATCAAGGCGAATTCCAGCTTACTCTCCAGTTAACTGCGATCTCTAAGTAATAGTTTCTTGCAACTCCGCGGAGGCCAACAATCATTGTTGAAACTTGAATGCTTCTGAGATTTTACCTTTAAATTTGACCACCTTTCCTAATCCTTGGTTTTGGTAAAATTGATCAAGTTTCAAGCTGTGGTGACGCTTCTAGATACGAACTAATTTTTGTAACTTTTTTTTTTGATAACTGTGGTTTCTGGGCCAACTTACGCACACCTCGACTAATTTCATGGGATACCTACTATCTCTCACCAGCAACAAGTACCGGGTAATTCTATCCACTAAGGCTTGGACAGATGAGAAGAAATCGCCTAGTATTTTTGTCTCTGTTGGGATTTGGACCTGAAATATTATGGTTCTTAACCCACTTCATTGGCCACACCTTTGGGTGCTAATTTTTGTAGCTATTGGGAAAGAGAGAACAAAAGGATTATTATCTGTACTGTCTTAGAATGGGCACTTTGTTGATTTAATGAGCCAAGTTACAAGTTTTTAAATTGCTAGGACTGAAGATGGTTGCTGGATGTGAAACTAGAAAAGAAAATAATAGAAAATTTTGAATATTTGTGGAAATTTCTCGTGCATTAGGTTTCTAACATGCTATTGGTTGACAAAAATTCCTGGAGTATTTACCTGTAAATAAGAAAGAGAAAATAGAATTTCTAAAGAAATGTTAGACATCAAATAAAAAGTTGATGAATGGGAATTAATTAGAGACCTTGTCATATCAAAAAAGGTCACCAATAATACACAGACAATCTAAACTAAGCTTGTCAACAGTTATAGGAGTACAAGAATTGCAGCTTGCGGTTTGAAGGTCCATGTTTCGAATATCAAAATATCTTACCAGTCGAACCGGGAAACCTGGCCAGACATATTTCAGCAGTTTACCAGGAAACAGTAAAATTCTAGTTTAGAACATACTCTTTCCACTCACTTACCAAGTGATAACTTCACTTATTACGGACATGGTAATAAAATTTGACTCTTTTCAGTGAATAATAGGAGGTAATTAACTTAAAGCTTCTAATAAGGTGGCCAAGGTCTGGGCAGATGCTCAAATTTGTGGCATTGTCAGTTCCATATCTTTTCTTTAGCATACACCCTCTGCCCATCCCATCCATTCATTTACTATCAATCCTCTTTAAGCAACGACTCAATATATGTTTCGGGGAATAATATTTGCTATTGTATGTGATGCTCAGTCAAGAGATAGCTGATGGTGTCAACAAATCTGCTCGAGCTGTGCAAGCAGCAGAAGCTGGAATCAAACAAATTGGGTCTCTTGCTCACCAGCAAACAATGTGTATGCTCTCTCTCATATATTCCTTTCATAAAGGCAGATCATGTCATTTTTTCCTAACTTAAGACTCTACTGAGCTTCTGTTTGATTGTGTCGTTAGCAATGATTCAGGAGAGAGCAGATCTGCCAGCCATATCTTTGCAGCCAGTTGTAGCTGGGGCAGCAAAGAAGACTTCTCGTGCTGTTAGCCAAGCCACGAGAAGATTTATAAATATGATCTCTGGAGGTGAACTTGGCTCAGAAATGGAAGACAATGGTGAAGTTGATGCGGAATCTTAGAGAGTCAGTACATTCCACTACTTCACTCGATCATTGGCAAACATGTTTATATGTTCCTCACAAACTTTTGAACATGTATAGCACATGTAAAAGCTATGATTCAGAACGTTTCTTTCAGTAAATATTTAGTCATCTTTCAAGAAATGAGATTGGCAGCTAAATTTTTGACGCCTCGCTGTGTGGCAAGGAGAGTTTCTTCTGCTCAAATATGCGTTGAGATTGTCAGAACTGCACGGCAACCATGATTATCCTGTTATTCACAAGTAAGAATTACTTAATATGTTCAATGTTATGTTTAAGCATTTGACAAGAACAATATGAAACTTTTTTCGGCTAGACCATGGCGTCTTTGCACATCTTGAACCACAGATATTTGTTGAGATTACGTTAGATCTGAAGGAACCAGGGTAGTGCGAGAATAGTTGTTCGATATTAACTGTTGAATTGTATTTCCACCTTGTAGATTTCTTTCTTTCAGGTTTATAACTCGCTCCAAACCTGCATGATTGATTATCTTTTTTCATGGGTTTAGTACGCGAACTTTATTTCTTTAGATGAAAGATGATGTGGAGGGTTGAAATCTCTCCTTGTTCTAATACCAATATGAACTGTGGATCATTCAAAAATTCAACTTGTTAGAAAGGAGATACTTATTTAGGTCTGCAACATTTATTACTTCAACCGATCCACGTGATTTCTACACAATCAAACAACTGCATTTATAGGATGCTTTGCGTAGAACATTTGTCTCGAAGGAAAATATGATGAAAATTCTGCTATATTGACAATTAAATGCAACGATGACTCCTGACATGACCAATAATAGTTGAAAGATTTCAAAGGTCCAGTTAGTGAGTTAGTCCCAGTGAATAATAATCTGGAGCATGCGTTAAATTCACCTCTCAGAAATTTGTATAATGAATTAGTAATTTGTTTTAGTTATTTATTCCTCAAGTGTCATTTCATATTTTAAGTTAATTTTCATCAAGTTTTGTTCCCAATATTGCTTAATTATAGTTGTACAAGCCTGTTTATCTAAAAAACTATGCCCAATGAAGTAGTATGATTTTCACTCTGATAGGAAAATTTCTACTAGGTTACAAGATACTGTATTGCTTCTTTTTGTATCATGATTTAGGTGGATTTCCCTCGCATATTTAACCATGGACAAGATGTAAATTTATCTTTCCTCTTGGTAATGGAGAAAAACTTACTTTCTTGGATTGCTTAGTGAAAGGGACTAATGGATTTCTTAGGGCTCGTTTGATACGAGGGATACAAGGGATACAGTATATAACTAATATCGAGATTAAATTTGAGATGGGTTAATCTCACGTTTGATTGGGATAAAATTGTGGTATAATTAATCCTGGAATTAGTTATTCCGGGATTGTAGTGTTATATTTATTCATATTGGAGGGTGACATAACAATTTTGGAATAACTAATTCCAGGATAATTAATCATGGGATAACTTGTTTCCCAACCAAACAACCCCTTAAAGTGAAACGAGGAAGGCTAAAATTATACGTAGGAGAAATGTTTTAACATCATATCGATTTGAAAATGACCATAAAAGTAGTTTGATTATTCGTCTCAATATCGTAAAATACTATTTAATTTTAAAAAAGAAGTGAAACATTAGACATGTGTCTTGCATCAAATTTTTGTCACTTTACCAAGATCAAGTAATTATGTAGTTTGAATTTGTGATTTTAAAGTTAAATTACTTGATTTAGTATAAAACACCAGATGCTGGTCTGCAACCCTCCTAGGCCAAAATACCAGAAATAGAAATGATAACTCAAGAATGAAGAGTATTCTTTTGTACAACAGACCACAACAATGGCTCATTCTTATCACCAATTTACACCCACATAATACAACAAATCACAAATATTCTCAAGAACCAAAACATTGTTTCACAAACAGGATTTCCATGGAAGCAGCTTTTCTAGCTGTCTGATCGATCTTAAAATGGAAAAAGAGAGATAAAAAGAAAAGAAGAAAGAGTTGCTCCCAACAGAAAAAACGAACCGTTTAAAAACACGGTACAAACATGACATTTTGGCAATATGTTTCAGACAGGGATGACTCCCACTGAATGGGATCTTCGCACTGCAGCTATTGCACTTTGCTCCGCCGCTTTCTGAAAACACAAAGACAAGTTAGAACTGATAAAGAAATGAACGTTGAGCTTAACTCAACCCCCAAAAGGTAGCTCATGCGCAAAAAAATACACATTCCAGCGACGTGGGAGAACTTACAAAGTGTAGAAATTTTTTCATTGTTTTTGATTACCTTATCAGACAATGTGTTTTTCCAGACTTTGTCCATCTCTTCGAACACAACTTCAATAGTGGGACGGCCTTTGCTTGATTTGGCGACACAAAGCACAGCAATTTGGAGAATGGACTCGAAATCAACACTGTTGAGCTGCCCTTTAAGCCTAGGGTCCTCAAAGTCTTTTAGAGGCCTTTTAGCCATGCTCACATCCTTTGCCTGCATTAAACCCAGGCATGACTCTGCATCTTCTGTTTTATTTCCTTTTAATTTTTATTGGCCTTCTTTTAACATTTTGTACAAGTTCCTTTTGTTCCAATCCGAATGAGACTTCAACACCGACAAAAACAACACATTGATTAATTCCAAACTGGTTTAGATCCGCTACATGAATCCTCTATATCAATTCCACCCTGTTCTATGCTTCTCCAAGTCCACATGGATTGCGAGCGATTTAGGTCTTTCGAGACATGTCCCCTCTATTTGATTTTTATTACCTCGCCCACCTTTAGACCGTTCAATCATCATACACCTATGGATTGGTATATTTCAATGATAGATCAGTTATTATAATTCCTGAGCAAGCATTGAATGCGGGGTGGAAAGATATAGCTTTAAAGATAGTAAGGTTCATTACGTGCTCCACTCAATTGAGCAATACAGAACCTTCCAGAACCTTTAAAGAGGACTATCCTTTTGCCAAAGCAGTACGAGAAAATAAATGGCAATCTAATACCGTTCGAGAAGCTGCTATCACTGCTTGCAAAGGAGATATCATTGTCACGGAGCCAGCTGGAATGAAGGATACTAGTTTACTCAAAAGATGCATAACAAGGTATTTTGGGGAAGAAGTAGCAGAGAAACCATCCTTGTCAGACATCAGGAAATGGACCTCTGCTACCTGGAAAGCTGCTTTTGGAGTGAACATGCACGAGATGGCCGAAAACATGTTTCTATTTGAATTTCCAAATAGGAATATGACAGAACAAATTCTTCAAAAAGAATGGAGATGGAAAAACTTTAAGATGAATCTCGATTGGTGGAACCCTTTTGCAGGCTGCATCTCTAATTCCCATTCTGTGGAAACCACTTGGATTAGAGCTTTGGGGATCCCACTACATCTATGGTCGCAGAAAATATTCAGTGAAGTTGGAAACTTATGCCATGGATGGATTTCTACAGAGGAAGAGACGGGCCTAAAGAACCACCTCAAGTGGGCTAGGATCCAGATAGCAGGAGATGGTCGATGTTGCCCTAGCGAAGTTGTTATTGAGAGAGATGGCATAAAGTTTTTTATTCCAATTTGGGTGGAGAGGAAAACACGATTTGAACTGAAATCGTCGGAGCTGAAGGAGATTGCCGAAGAATCCAGAGGTCCGAAGATGTCAAAGGACCGATGGACAAAAACAACCTACGTGAAAGAGATGGGACAATTCAGCCCTGCAGTTTCACGTGATAAAGGCAAAGTGCACATGGGATCCTCAAGTTAAGAGCCAGCTGTCACAATTTTACAAAATAAGGGAGAGGCAAGTGAAAAGGAGATTAGGGTTTCAGAAGATTTAAACACAAGTATGGACACAACTTATGGGCCATATTTTGCAGCCCAAGTCATATTTAATGACTTATACAATAAGCCCAATAAAGAAGGAATACTCGATCCTTTCTTTATAGACTTAAAAGCCACATTTGAACTGAAACAACAAAGATACACAATGAATCACTCTGATTCATTAACATCAGAATCAGAAAAGGAAGAAGCAGAAAATACAACTACTTCAGAACCTGGGAAACAACCGATTGAAACTGATGGTGAAAAGGAAGAGATAAACCTAAACTCCATGGCAATAATCAAGATCGGGGAATATTCTGGTAGCAGTTACAGTATAATTGAGAAGAACCAGGCCATGACCACTCACCAAGAAGGTCCAGATATTGATGAATGGGTAGTGGAGGATGCTGAACCCTTACAACAACAGAATCTTCTTCTTGATAAGGAGATGGATACAACACTTTGGGTTCATCAAAATTTAATAAAATTGGAAAAAATGTTTGGGGTTGATTTCCAGGTCCATGAAGAAGAAGCTCTTGAACTTCTCATGCAGATTGATAGTAGCAGAAAGGCAAGGAAGATGGAAGCAGAGGTTAATATCAAGAAGAACAGGTTCAAGGGGTCACAAGAACTAAAAGGGTTGGCCTCTTTTGATCTTAAATTCAAAAGCAACGGAAATAGGAGCAGGGGAAGGGCTTTATTCTTAATTGATCAATGAAGCTCAAATTAGTCACATGGAGTGTGAGGGAATTAAATAAAATAGATAAGAGGAGGTTGGTGAAGAATTCTTTCATCGATTGGGGAGCAGACATTATATGTTTGCAAGAAACAAAGCTTGAAGGGAATGCAAAAGATATTGTTAATTATATTTGGGGAGGAAGATGGGCAAGCTATGCTTGTCTAGAAGCCAGTGGTATTAGAGGTGAAATCATGATGATATGGGATAGAAGGGTATGGAAAGGGGAGATTCTTCAAATTGGGCTATACAGTTTGACTTGCAGATTTGAAGACATGTTACAACACTTTGAATGCCATATTACAGGGGTGTATGCCCCAAATTGTGACATCGAAAGAAAAGAGATTTGGGGAGAAATTAGTGCTGTGAGGGGTCTGATGGAGGGTCGATGGGCAATTTGTGGGGATTTTAACATTGTTAGATTCCCTACTGAGAAAAGAAACTGCAGGAGAAGGTCCACAACTATGGTGGAATTCTCAGACTTCATAGAGGACATGAGTCTTATTGATCTTCAGCTAGAAGGAGGCACTTATACTTTGTACAAAGGGGACACTCACACCACTGCATCAAGAATTGACAGAATCTTGATCTCTGAAGAGTGGGATGACTATTTTAGCACCATCAAACAATTCGCTCTTCAGAGAGTGACATCTGATCATGTTCCTATTGTTTTACAATGTGGAAACTGGGACCAACCAAAGTCATATTTCAAATTTGACAATTGGTGGTTGAACTCAGATGGCTTTATTGACAGAATCAGGAGTTGGTGGACAT